CCCCAAAACCCCAAAACCCCAAAACCCCAAAACCCCAAAGCTAGGATTGTTTATTGAATTACGTAAACTTATGTCTTCTGATCCTCCTCAATTCTTGTGGAATCCTCTATTGCAGTCTCGTTGTTATCTTCATCATCTAATGAATTTGTCTGACTACTCTCTCCAGTCGAAGGTTCCTGGGGCTTGTTCAAGATTTTTACATATTGTTTTTCATAGTATTCGTCAATCTGGGTATGAGGAGTGATGTTTATGTCAGGAAATCCGTAATCTTTAAGCCATTTCATCACTACTTTGTTCCCTAATTCATACATTTCTACTACTTCAACACTTGGATTTCTCTCGGTCCACATTTTAAATTCTAATGGAGCCAAGGATAGAACATCTGTTTGGAACAAATGACCGGTCTTTTCAATCATAACATTTAAGTCCTCCATTGCATTAGCGTTATGGAAAAGATACTGCAAAGTCTCCCAGCTGTCAAAGCCTTCTACCATCGGATGATATTCTTCTGAGTTAACAGCCAGCATAACTTGTGGAATACTAAATCCATTATCAATAATCTCTCTATAAAGCACGAAGAGCCAAGGATCTAGCATTACTCAATGTGAGATCCTTCTCGGTTCTCTCTGTCAAGAAAGCAGAGCAGTGCATCCTCCAAATCCATGACCAATCATGATAACCCTATCAAGATCATACTCTATATCACCACTAACATCTTTCGGTACAGAATGGATATGATTTAGTACATCTTTAACCTCTTCATATCTGACCTCAATCCTCTCTTTCCACAGGTTCAAATCGGTCATATCTTCTTGCTGGTAATAATTAATCTCATTAGTCTTCTCATCTAGTGTAGAGGCGCTAGTTCCATCATTATGGTCAAGAGAGTAAACCACAAATCCTTGGCTTGCTAGTTCTCTCAGTAAGCCACTTGCGATATTTCTATGACCTCTGATACCATGAGAAAAGATAACAACTGGCATCTTTCTATCCTTGTATTCTTCATCAAGCTCACCGTCTCTGTCACAATCCATTTCGGAGTATTTTAAGAAGTTGAAAATATTAGAGCTAAATCTAGCATTATTGAACATTCCTCTAACAGTGTTTTCTCCATCGGGTGCCCAGAAAGGTCTATTAGGCTTGTTGCTCCCTACTTTGAATCCACCTTTCTTTTTAGTCGGATAGAAAACGGATAGTCGGATGGGTCTATCTCCTGCTTTATCTCCAATAAGGACATCTTTAAACCCAGTGTCTGATTTCCCTTTAATAGGTACATTATTACTGGGAGAAAAGAACAACACCAGTGTCATAGCAGTTATACACACAGCAATGAAGAATCCTATTGACATTCCCTTAGTCTGATCGTCTTCTGCAAGGTCTCCATAGACCAACAAAGGATGGGCTATCAAATAGATCAAGCTCTGTATTTTCATCCCTTCAAGTCTGTAATTAAAGAACATCAGCATGAAGAAGAGCAGGAGGTAAGTCACCGTCGAAGGAGTCATGCTCACCCCTTCTGTAAACGTGAAGATGTAGTAAAACACAAAGAATATGTTTAGAATGGCAAATGATTTCTCAAATATTCTCAATGGCATTTTTAATCTAGAACTCTATATTTTTTATTTTTGCTGGGGTTTTGGGGTTTTGGGGTTTTGGGGTTTTGGGG